TGAATAAGAAAACGAATGTATTCTTAATAAACCTACATCTATCGACTTTATGAGACATGACTTTGATGGCATACTTTGGAATAAGTGGGCCAAATGAGCATCACTTTTTGGTTACTAATCCTCTCATTAATACTTATAACAGAGTACTTGCATAAAGACTTCCGCAAGCCTCTGCCCAAACTTGTAAATTAGAAGTTAGTTTATGATACTCTATGAGATTGTCCTACTCCACCTTTGCTAAGCTTGCCTTCAGGAACATACAGCATCATATTTCTTAACGCCAGGGATGTAGCACAATCAACATGACTTCATTTATGTAAACCATCTACTTTTTTACTTGCTTCACATCAGGCATGACGGGTTGAGTTATCTGGCACGTCTGGTTGGGGCTTAATCTAACATGTTCGAGTGAGGTCTCGTGGATTGCATCAACCTGAACGTCGTGTAAAAGCCAATCGGCTGCAGTACAACTGGATTGATTTGTCCTGGGAGATCGACCTACGAATCTCTTCTTAATGCAATTTTAACAATGTTATCTCAGAAGCTTAATCGAAACAGTTTCTCTTTGTCTCTATAATCTTGTTGTAGCCGATAATTCGTCATATTTCTATTTAAAACCTGGCATAACAGAAGAAAGTTTGAGGGTTTCTTTAAACTTTTATATCATCCACTTTCTCACTAGTTCGACTATCTTAGAAAGAAGGCATAACGGCAAAATTGGGACATGTTTAAGGATCTCAGCTTGTCTATCTTTGGCTAAATAGTCTCTGTTTGAACTACTTAGAAGGACGCGAAGAGTAACTATTTCGATTACTGTTCTAAGATAACATTATTAAGGAGACCTTTATTTTGTGTGAATGTGCATGCAGAAACTGTTTGTAGATTAATCCTGCCAGAAGACCACTGCTGATTCCCATTTACTGCTGCCGTTTGGCCTTAATAAGACGTTTAGGTTGACTTACTCCACTAGACATACTCTCTCGTTTCGGGTGAAAGCAAGCTGAGATTTTGTCCACCACAGCTGGAACTCACATTTGTGAAAATCTCGGGTTAGCACTAGGTCAAGAAGACTATCCGGATCTATCTTACCTCCCATATATACATCTAAGGTACGTTGGCTTCATATAAACATCTATTCATAACTCACCTCTAATGATCAGAACATTCAAAAAGGGTAAGGACCTATTATGATGGTGATGTTCCTTTCACATTGGTTAAGTGAAGGTCGGAAACAATCTTATCTTTTCTTACAGTTAGCTCAGATTACAAGATATTCATCCATGTATCTAACCCAAAATTTCGGAGTTAGTATTGCCTCCTCATAAAAGTGTTTTTAAAGTTTGGCCATATAGTTTCTCGCCAAGACAGGAGCTAATCATCATCCCATTGCAAGTTCTTATATCTGTTCATAAAACCTATCATCAGAGCTCTTATGTTATGTCTTAATAATGGTGAATTGGAGAAGTCGAAAATGAATTGACTACTCAAGCGAGATGCAAAGGTCCACACGACTTACTGTCTCCCTAATTTTTACAAGGAAGGTGTCTAACTTAGATTGCTTGTAGATAATATGATTAGGAGGAGTATGAAAATAGCGGATAGCGACCATTTTACAAGGGAATTGAAGGTACTCCAACATCAATCTATCAAGTGATTCTTCTAAACCTACTTTTTCTACATACCTTGATGTCCCTAGACTGAGAGGTTAGGATAGGTTGTTTTGTAACTTGACTTACACACTTAAATCTCATTATCTCAACCATACTTGCTTATTTAATTACGCAGTCTCGTTCGGCTTTTTATTGGGTTCTTAAACCTTAAAGATCAGTCTGATATTTGCCATTTTTAATTACTCTCTTTTTCCACTGGTATTGTGTATAGCCCTTACACACACACACACACGAGCAAGAGTAGCATGACCATTATGATATATAATTAGCCAAATCATTCCACATATCTCTATACATATTTGTCTTTTGCTTAATTAAATCTAAGATAGCGGGATAGTCTTTTTTACCTAATGTTAAATTGAGACTTACGAGAATGAGTTCCAGCTCTGATGATGCCTATCGTATGATGGTCAAAAGCTCCGCCCGTTTTTACTCGAACTGAGGGAGGGTGTATCGTGAACTCCGTCAATCTGAACATCATATTAAAGCCAAATGGCTGCAGTACAACGGAATCAGCCATTATCTTCTGGTGAGATCAACCCAGGATTCTTCTTCCTTTATTTGCGTACGAATTGAAATTCTAACCAACACTACTTAGACAGAATATTCTACCAGCTGTTGTGGTCGTTTAAGATTCAGTATCACCACTCGTCATTTAATACTTTCACTTTTGGTTGTTAATCTGGCCACTACATATCAAAATAAAAACTTGCTTTTCGAATTGGTATGTACTCTAGCACATATTTTTCGTATGTAAGTAGAGTTTCGATACTATCAGTTAATCAGTAATATATGTATTCACCCTATTTCGTTCGGGGTGATAAAGGACTGGCAGTAGAATTTTCCCACTGAAATAGGTGGAGCTGACGTTTTCAATGAATTTTTACCTGTTTTTTTTTCATATTTGTAATGTTCAGTCCCATCTTATACTAAAATGTACACTAGGGTATCTACTTCTTTGTTAAGGTTTTCCTTGAAGTTTTTATATTTTTCTGGCCTTAGGCGATGGCGCAGATTCAAGAGGGTCTCCACGTCCTTCAAGAAGAATGTCCAGGTCTATTAACTGGCCGCGCTACTGGTATTCCAACTCCTGCTCCCACGGCTCCGTCTTCTGTATCTGCGACTTCAGCAACAGCTGACGGTGGCACTGAAGGAACAAACAATAGTACTGCAGTTACTTCTGTAAGACCGTCAGATGCAAGTGTTGCCGACACAATTGGCTCTGTCACTGGTACTGGTACTGCCACTGCCACTGAAGGGTCTTCTGCCGAGCATTCCGGTCCCTCGAGCCAGTCAGAGTTAGCCACTTTACTCGCCAGCATGTTGAATATGATGGCGATCACAAACCTTCCGGCAAATGAACAGTCACTTGTTGCCGGTCAGACGGGCGCTGGGACGACAGGATTATTTGGCCAGGTAAACATCTAAAATAAAAGGCTGACTTCCTTAGATTTTTTTGTATGTACATTTTCGCCCTCCAATGAATTTTTTGACGCATGCCTTTGTGCATAATGGTCTCTCTCTATATATATATCCTTTATTTAATATTTGGTTTGTAACGTAATTTATTAGCGTTCATTACAATCTAGTTAAGACGAATATGCAAATAATTCCAAGACTTATTTATCCAATCAACAATCCAAGATGGTATTCAGGCTAATACTTACATGAAGTGGTTAAAATATCTTTAAAGTTATGGTGATGCAAATTTTGAGATGTTGGTACATATCGGGATTGATAGCTAGTTATGATAACTCCATATCTATCCATCCAATATGATTTGGTACACATTTAACTAATTATGTTATAGACTGCCTTTTTTATATTACTACGTGCCTATGTCGAAATTTGTCCTTAAGATGTCTTTAATTTCCGTACTTTCCTTATTCCTCCTTCCATACTTTTCTCAAGAATGGATTCATTCTTGACAAGATTTGTTAACCTTTTTAATGGGGTTCTCTCTTAGCATATCCGCTTAGCACGAAAGCCTCTATATTACGGCGCTCTTTTTCTAGCTTCTGCAGTATACTAACTTATACAAGCGGATTTCTATGAAGCATCCCATTTTTTTAGCGCTCTATTAATTTTTCTTTTTCTAGTGCATTAAATGGAGCCGTTGTTCTTATTTGCTTAAGTTTTCCTATGTGCGGAATTTTAACTACTATCATTTTCATAACAGACATTCTCCTAAGGGCTTAACATCTTATTCAAAGATATGAAAACCAAGATAGTGTGGCCTTTTGCGTGGTCGGAGCCTCCTTTCGTTGTATATATGTTGTTTGATCTTGTTTTCGCAACTTGGTCATATTGGTAGGAAGACTTAAAGGAACGCACCTTATCTTGAGTCCATTGTATGCATAATCATCTCCAGTCGGACCGTGGACGTGGTACATTCTCAGACGTTTCGCCGGCATCGTCAATAAGTTTTACGATTCGTAGCATCATATTAAAACTCGTCAAAAACACAAGTGAAGCTGAACCTTTGACCAAACGTGTGCTAAACAGTTATGGTATCATCTTCTGCACTGGCCTATTCACATTTCCTATATTCTCCTATCACGCCTTCACTGTCACAATTTTTTTCTTGCTTAATTAAGTGTGGTACGGCGTGCCCTTTTTTAGCGGCTTTCATGAGAACCCTCCGCAGTCCACGCTGGCGTTCTCATCCCCTTCATCTTTGTGCTGGGAATGTCGATCAGAGTCTGCCATATTGTTACACAGTCCTCGTTCCCTACGTCTTAACACAGTCTCTTGCCCCGTAAGCTCCGTCTGCCCTCTCCCTGGTTCACATATTTCACTCGACCCCTGCCACCCCATCTATGCCACCCGAGGCGTTATTGGCCCTACCCTGCGTCTGGGTGACTAATTCGAGGCTCAAGCCTCTGAGTAA